TCAGACATTGGGACTTCAGGTCCCTGGGCAAATGAAAGTGAAGCGATCTCCTTGTCTTCTGAGTTTAATGACATTTATTACTTCAGAGTCTTGACAAGTCCCATTATTACATTTCATTTTTTGAAAAGTGGCAGTGTGCGAAGCCTAATACCTGACATAGCATTATATATCTTGTCCAGTAGGTTTACAAGTTAATTCATTAAGCCAAATCATTTTCATTAGAACACTGGCTTCATGTATTACTACCAGCACTAAAATAAATCATTTTATTCTGTCCATTATGGTAAGTGATACATCTGATACATTTATTAAGTTAAAGTGTTCTCTCAAATTCTCATGTTCAATTATTCTTGTCGCCACTCACTGTGCTGATGCTTCTCTGAGGAATCATTACCTATAAGGATAAATTCCAACTCTGTTTTCTGATATGTATGTACCTCCACAGTTTGGCCACAGCCCACTGTTTCAACCTCATCACCTACTGTCCTGCACCCAGATCTTCAAAGGCAACCAGGCTGCCCTTTTCACAGGGACCCTAAAGCCTGCATAATATTTCTCCCTCCAACCAGAGGCTTCACTCCTCTTTGTTTAGGCAAACTCAACCCTTCCTATGAGATCAAATCAAACCACACCTCTTTCTGCTTCTTATCTGTACCTCTCTTTTGCGCATTACAATATATTCTGATGGCAGCCCCTTTGCTGCTGTCCTTACTGTGCTCTTGACAGGTATCATATGCTCACGTCTCAGGTGACAACTCCTTGAACTTGTAGTTTCTTATTTATATATTGTATAATTATATAAACTGCTCTGTTACTTTTTTCCCTAACCACCCAATGCACAGAGAACAATGTTCACATTAAAAATGTCTCAGGACTTGCATATCATATTATGCCTGGAGTGGAGAGGAGGGGCAAAGCATCTCTAGCAAAGGCATTCTTAGTAAATTAGCTCTAAGTTCCTGCTTTGCATATTGGTGGTCACTCTTCTTATTTCTTTGAATCTACTAAGGAAAATGCATGCCTTAAATCAATGCACAGAAATCAGTGGCATTTCTATACACTAACAATGAGACTGAAGAAAGAGAAATTAAGGAGTCAATCCCATTTACTCAATCGCACCCAAAAGCATAAGATACCTAGGAATAAACCTAACCAAAGAGGTAAAGGATCTATACCCTAAAAACTACAGAACACTTCTGAAAGAAATTGAGGAAGACACAAAGAGATGGAAAAATATTCCATGCTCATGGATTGGCAGAATTAATATTGTGAAAATGTCAATGTTACCCAGGGCAATTTACACGTTTAATGCAATCCCTATCAAAAACCATGGACTTTCTTCAGAGAGTAAGAACAAATTATTTTAAGATTTGTGTGGAATCAGAAAAGACCCCGAACAGCCAGGGGAATTTTAAAAAAGAAAACCATATCTGGGGGCATCACAATGCCAGATTTCAGGTTGTACTACAAAGCTGTGGTCATCAAGACAGTGTGGTACTGGCACAAAAACAGACACATAGATGAATGGAACAGAATAGAGAACCCAGAAGTGGACCCTGAACTTTATGGTCAAGCAATATTCGATAAAGGAGGAAAGACGATCCACTGGAAGAAAGACAGTCTCTTCAATAAATGGTGCTGGGAAAATTGGACATCCACATGCAGAAGAATGAACCTAGACCACTCTCTTACACCATACACAAAGATAAACTCAAAATGGATGAAAGATCTAAATGTGAGACAAGATTCCATCAAAATCCTAGAGAAGAACACAGGCAACACCCTTTTTGAACTTGGCCACAGTAACTTCTTGCAAGAGACATCCACGAAGGCAAAAGAAACAAAAGCAAAAATGAACTATTGGGACTTCATCAAGATAAGAAGCTTTTGCACAGCAAAGGATACAGTCAACAAAACTAAAAGACAACCTACAGAATGGGAGAAGGTATTTGCAAATGACATAACAGATAAAGGGCTAGTTTCCAAGATCTATAAAGAACTTACTAAACTCAACAGCAAAGAAACAAACAATCCAATCATGAAATGGGCAAAGGACATGAAGAGAAATCTCACAGAGGAAGACATAGACATGGCCAACACACACATGAGAAAATGCTCTGCATCACTTGCCATCAGGGAAATACAAATCAAAACCACAATGAGATACCACCTCACACCAGTGAGAATGGGGAAAATTAACAAAACAGGAAACAACAAATGTTGGAGAGGATGTGGAGAAAAGGGAACCCTCTTACACTGTTGGTGGGAATGTGAACTGGTGTAGCCACTCTGGAAAACTGTGTGAAGGTTCCTCAAAGAGTTAAAAATAGACCTGCCCTATGACCCAGCGATGGCACTGCTGGGGATTTACCACAAAGATACAGATGCAGTGAAACGCTGGGACACCTGCACCCCGATGTTTATAGCAGCAATGTCCACAATAGCCAAACTGTGGAAGGGGCCTCGGTGTCCATCGAAAGATGAATGGATAAAGAAGATGTGGTTTATGTATACAATGGAATATTCCTCAGCCATTAGAAACGACAAATACCCACCATTTGCTTCAACGTGGATGGAACTGGAGGGTATTATGCTGAGTGAAGTAAGTCAATCGGAGAAGGACAAACATTATATGTTCTCATTCATTTGGGGAATATAAATAATAGTGAAAGGGAATAGAAGGGAAGGGAGAAGAAATGTGTGGGAAATATCAGAAAGGGAGACAGAACATAAAGACTCCTAACTCAGGGAAACGAACTAGGGGTGGTGGAAGGGGAGGAGGGCGGGGGGTGGGGGTGAATGGGTGACGGGCACGGAGGGGGGCACTTGACGGGATGAGCACTGGGTGTTATTCTGTATGTTGGTAAATTGAACACCAATAAAAAATAAATTTATTTAAAAAAAAAAGAAAGAAAATGCCTGCCTTAGACCATAGATGCTCCCAGCTACATTTTCTATAATTAATGAGTAATGCTACTGGGAGAAGTGATATTTATTGAATCTCTAGCATGTGTGAGGAATTCTATAAACCCCAATTTCCAATTCAACTTTATCTCTGTGTGTGGTGTATATATTCCTTAAATCTTTTGAACTTTACTTTTTGGATGCATTAAACTATCACTATGCATTATACTATCACTTGGACACTTTTTTTGGGGGGGGCACTATAGTGCAAAAACAGTTAAATTAGAAAATATTGGGATGCCTGGGTGGCGCAGCGGTTTGGCGCTTGTCTTTGGCCCAGGGCGCGATCCTGGAGACCCGGGATCGAATCCCACATCGGGCTCCCGGTGCATGGAGCCTGCTTCTCCCTCTGCCTATGCCTCTGCCTCTCTCTATATATCTCTCTGTGACTATCATAAATAAATAAAAATTAAAAAAAAATAAAATATTAACTGGAAGCCACAGTAAACAACAGAGACTCCACATCTTACTGAATTTAAGATAATTGAATTTAGCGTTCATGGCCTAAGTGTTGGTGGTATGGTGTAAGAAAAATTTTGACCAATAATAGGTACAACAGTTTTGTTTACTAGCTCTCATTGGCTGAGAACATAAGACAAGAATAAAATGTATATTAATAGCTTAAACAGATTGGTACACATATATGTAATATACATATATGAATATACTTACACATACATATATATTAAATATTTCCCAGAAAAATAGCAACGTAATAAAAAAAGTTCCCCCAGGATGCTGAAAAAAATTGGTTATGGTTATATTAAATATTAAAACCACAAAATAAGAGTAAATATGTTCGAATAATTAGTTCAGTTATATAAAACAGATGTTTCATAATTCAATGATTTTCATGAATATTCAAAAAATCATAATAATACTTATTAATTCATTGTAATTTTTTAGTCTCCAAGGATCCAAAAATTCAATCCTGGATATTAGATGCTAACAATATTGAAAAAAAAGAGACGTGGCATTAAGTAAATATAATGTTGACTCCTAAACTTACATACTATGTGGAATGTTATGATAATTTTTTTTTAAGATTTTATTCATTCATTCACGAGAGACACAGAAAGAGAGAGAGAGAGGCAGAGGCACAGGCAGAGGGAGAAGCAGGCTCCATGCAGGGAGCCTGACGTGGGACTCGATCCCGGGACTCCAGGATCGGCCCTGGGCCAAAGGCAGCGCTAAACCGCTGAGCCACCCGGGCTGCCCTATGATAATTTTTTAATGTGTGAACTTTGCTAAGCTACAGTCCCTGGTTAGTCAGTCAAACACTAATGTAGGCTTTGCTGTGAAGGTGTTTAATCAAAGATGCGATTAAAATCTACGATTAGTTGATTTTAAGTAAAAAAAGATTTTTCCCAGATAATCTGAATGGGCTGGTTTAATCATTTGAAATGCCTTAAGATCAGAACTGAGGCTTCCCTGATGAAGAAGAAATTGCATCTATGGACAGTAGTTTCAGCCATAGCCAGAAGGGTTCCAGCCTGCCTTTCCCCACCCTGCCTCATGTGATTCCGCCTTTTCTCAACCAACCCCCACAATCCTTCAAAGGAATTCCCTCCAGTAGACCTCTTAATTTGTAACTCCTGCTGGTCTGTTTCTATACCTGAAGCTTGACTCCCTGAACTATGCACACTCAGTTTGTGTGCACAAATATGTATGTGTGTTGGTTTATACATATGTATATATTCAGATTCACATAAATTAGTAGAGTGGGCAAATAATCTATCCTCCCCAATAGGTTGACTTTTTTTTTTTTTTTTTTTTAATGCTGAGAACAAACGAGTGGCCAGCAATCAGCTAGGTGAAGGAGTGAGGGCTGGACAGAGTGTTGGAAGCATATGAAACATCCTAGAGATCAGTATGAGGAGGCTGCTGTCTAGGAACATGAGATGAATATGGAGAGATCTAGTTGCTGCATCTGAAAGATGTTGACCATTGTGTTTTCATTTGATTTCTTGGTTGACTCATTCATTGTTTACTATTATTTAACCTCCACATATATGTGTTATTTCCAGATTTTTTCTTGTAGTTGATTTCTAGTTTCATAGTATTGTGTCATCCCTGTGTTGGGGCCATGCTAATATTCTCTGTGTCATCACAGTTATTATATGTGCCACCAAAGCAAGTACTCTAGTTTCATATGACTTTAGTCTTTTTTTAATTCATTGGGGCCTGTTTTGTGACCTAATGTGATCTACTCTAGAGAATATTCCATGTGCCCTTGAAAAGATTGTGTATTCTGTTGTTTTAGGAGGGAATGTTCTGAATATACTGTTAGATCCGTCTGGTCCAATGTGTCATTCAAAGCCACCATTCTTTATGGGTTTTTTTACATATTTATTTTTATTACACTTTTACATATTTATTCCAGTTAGTTAACATACAGTGCAATATTACTTTCAGGTGTACAATATAATGAGCCAGCACTTCCATACAACACCCAGTGCTCATCACAAGTACAGTCCTTAATCCCCATCACCTATTTGGCCCATTATTCCACCCACCTCCCCTCTGGTAGCCATCAGTTGTCTATAGTTAAGTATATATTTCTTGGTTTGTGTCTCTTTCTCTTTTCTTCCCCTTTGTTCATTTGTTTTGTTTCTTAAATGAAATAATATGGTATTTACCTTTCTCTGACTGATTCATTTTGTTTAGCATAATACTTTCTAGCTCCACCCATGCTGTTGCAAATGGTAAGGTTTCATTCTTTTTTTATGGCTGAATAATATTCTATTATATATCTGTAGACAATAGATAGATCATATCTTCTTTATCCTTCACGTTCTTTTACTTTGTGACTCCTTTGATTTTTATAGATATAATTATTTTACTACTGTTGTGCTTCTTACTTTTCTTACTCCTATTTATGGTCTTTTACCCCCCCCCCCCCAAAGAGTCTCCTTTAACATTTCTTATAGGGCTGGTTTAGTAGTCATGAATTCATTTAACTTTGTCTGGGAAACTTTTAATTTCTCCTATTCTGAATGATGGCTTTGCTGGTTAGAGTATTCTTGACTGCAGTTTGTTGTTGTTGTTGTTTTGATTTCAACTCTGTGAGTATACCATGCCATTCTCTTCTGGCCTATAAAGTTTCTGCTGAAAAATCAATTGATAGCATTTTGGGGTTTCCTCTGTATGTAACTATTTTCTTTTGTCTTGCTGCTTTTAAATTCTCTCTTTGTCACTACTTTTTGGCATTTTACTTATTATGTCTCTTGATGTGGACCTCTTTGGATTGATTTTGTTAGGAGCTCTCTGTGCCAACTGGATCTGGATTTCTGTCTCCTTTCCCAGATTTGGGAAGTAGCTATTATTCCATCAAACATATTTTTCTCCCTTTTCTCTCATCTTCTTTTTCTCAGATCCCAGTAGTGGGAATGTTTTTACCCTTGATGGTGTTGCCGATTTGCCTAAGTCTATTTTCATTTTTTAATTTTTTTCTCTCTCTTCTGTTCAACTTGATTGCTTCCTATTACCCTGTCCTTCAGGTTGCTGATATATTCTTTTGCTTCCTCTAGCCTTCTGTTTGTTTTATCCAATGTATTTTTAATTTCAGTTATTGAGTTCATCTCTGGTTCTTTTTATGTTTTCTATCCCTTCTAATAGTCTCATTGATGTTCTGTACTCTTTTCTCAAGTTCAGTGAGTATTTTTATGACCATTGCTTTCTCTAACAGGCATAGGTCTTATCTGTATTTTGTTTGACTCTCTTGTTTAATTTTGTCCTGTTCTTTCATTTGGGGCATATTCTTCTGTCTCCTCATTTTATCTAATTCTGTATCTGTTTTTATGTGTTAGGAAAGTTGGCTATATCTCCTGCTCTTGATGGTAATGGCCTTGTGAATAAGAGGTCCCTTAGTGCCCTGAAGTGTGATGTCCCCTGTTCACCAGAACCTGGCACTTCAGGAGGGTTTTCTGTGTGTTGCATGTGCCCTTCTGTTATGACTGAGCTGGGTTTACCTTTAGTCCTGTCATCGCCAATAGCTCTCTTTGCCTATTGCAGGCATATTTTGTTCCCCGTGTTGTTAGTGGGCTAGTCTGGGGTTTCCTTGGACTTGTGTTGATACAGACTAGACATTTGCCAGAGCTACAGTAGCACCATACTGCAGGGTGCTTTCCCTTTGCTGTGTCCTGAGAAATTTTCATTGGCACTTTGGGGCTTACAATCAGGCAAGATGTCCCTCTCCAGCCCATTTCTAGGACTGAAGTGGGACTAGTGTGTATCATTATCTTCTCTTCTACCTGGGGAAAGAGTCACCTTTTGGTGGTACTAAACCCTGTCTGGGCCGCTTGCACACAATGAGCTTATGGCACTGCTTTGGATGTACTCTTGCCAAGGGTGTATTGGAATGGACAGGTCTCAGGAAAATGCAGAGGTGGGGTGCAATTTTAAAAAGATTTTAGCAGATCTGCTGTGGGAGAAGACCTGAAACCACTTTAGAAAGCTCTTGTGACAAGGATGGAGAGAGTGGGTATAGAGAAGAATGCTAGTTATGCAGTGACAACCAAGTTCTACACTGCAGCCACCCAAAATTCCTATCAACATTGTGGGGCTTAGAGGAGACAGAGCCATAGAAGCATGGGATTGGGGTGCTGTTATCAAGCTGGGTGGAAAGTGTGCTATTTTGGTCCCTGCAGATGTCTGTGTACCTAGGCTGTCAGGCAGAGAAGGTAAATGGGGTCTACCATCACCTTTGTTCCTGGAGAAGTCTCCCAATGATCCCTGATCCTCTAGCATATGCTTTAAGATTAGTAAACAAATCTCCTTTCAAAATACATCAAGCAGTTTACAAACTTCTACTCCTATGTTGTATTTCTGTGGGGCTATCTGTTGTGCTATCTCTTTAAAGGTGGGGACTCCATTTCTCCTTACTCTCCCAAGTCTCCTAGGGCAAGCCTGCTGATTTTTAAAGTTCCAGGTATTAAGTCTGCTGATCACAGAACTTGCAAAATTATGCTCCTCTGATTTTCAAAGATGGCGATTCATCTTCCTTGTGTGTTTCCCTGTGCCTGGGGTGCCTGGTGTGAGGGACTCTTTCTTTTCTCTTGGGACAGTCGCATGGATCCATTTAGCTCCTGACCATGTCTCTGTCTTTTCTACCCTTTTTGATGTGGCCAGTTCTCTACATTTGGCTATGAACAGTCTGTTCTGCCAGACTTTGGGTCATTTTCTGGGTAATTTACACTGATATAGGTGTTGTCTAGTTGTATCCATGGGAGGAGATGAACTTAGGTCCTGCTACTCCATCTTCCCCAAACAGCCCATGGTCTTGTAGTATCTTTTTTTTTCTTTTTTCTTTTTTTTCTCTCTAGATTTTTCTAGAGAAAACCATCAGTTGCATTACAAACATCTATCCATCCATTGCCATTTCCAGAATTACAAAAACATTTCTCTGTGCTCACTTCAGTTTCTCAATTTTAATCACTCATGAATTTGTAGGAGTTGTTTTCCAAAGTAACCTATCAGTATGTTTTAAGTCCTCAAGTTCACTCCACTTCTAGAAATACTTTCACCAAATATAGCCCATAAATCTATGTTATAATTCAAAAATACTTTTATGAAGACAGATGCTAATCTTTTGCCCCTGATATTTAATTGCATATTTAATTAACACTGTAATCATATGACTTAAGAAAGATATGTAGTTTTACTAAATAAAGACACAGAGTTCTACTAAAAACTCCGTGTTTTATGTATTATACCAAGTTATTACACTCAGGTGTCTTAATTTTAAGCCAATAACATACCAATTTTGGACTACTTAGTGATTCAGCATCTCCCATGCTTCTATAACTTAGACATTACTATGGTATCTGAACAGTAGAGAGATATATCTTTGGTTTGTCTTGTTTTTAAACTGCTCTGAAAGGAGGTTATGAGGATAAACACAGAGAATAAAACTGTTACTGAATGTAATATTAAATATATACATTTTGCATATATATGCATGATATTATACATATGTATACATGATACATAAACATATGACCTAGAATTATCAAATTTCTCTGGGCAGCAACTATCAATGGCATGGGACTCTTCTATGACTTATGCTGCATAGCCTAAGGCAGCATTTTGACAACTTTTTCAGGGAATTGGAGTCAAATAGAATTAAAGTATATAAAGCAATGTGAAATGTGCATAGCAATTTCAGGAAGACAATTTGGCCTTAGAAATGTTTTGATGGACTTCAGATCAAACAATTCAATTTTACATGTCATGCTATAAAGAACAATTCATATTTTAGAACCATCATCTACAAATTCCTTAAGGGAAGGTATGTACCAAGTCAATTTTGTGGTTATTACCTATTTCTTTGTAAACCTAGGATATATTCTTAGTATCATGTAAGTCATTGTACATGAAAAATTATAGCAACTCAAAACAGTAAGTTTTAGGCAATAGTGCTTTAAATATTTTAAGAAAGCTGGTTCTTGGGCAGCCCGGGTAGCTCAGCGGTTTAGCGTCACCTTCAGCCAAGGGCGTGACCTTGGAGACCTGGGATCGACTCCCACGATGTTCTCCTTGCATGGAGCCTGCTTCTCCCTCTGCCTGTGTCTCTGCCTCTCTCTCTCTGTGTGTGTCTCTCATGAATAAATAAATAACATATTTAAAAAAAGAAAGATGATTCTGCTATTTAACATAGATTGTCATAATTAATGGGAGCTGTACAATTCGTCCATATCATAATTTTTATTGTGTCGTTCCTGAGATATTAGAAATTGCATGCATTTTTGAAAACCCTTGTATAAAGAAATAGTGGATCACATTTTCATAACATGCTGTTTTAGAAAATGTGATTTTTGTAAAAATTCTTTTTCTTTGCTGTTTCAATTTTTTTCTTTCTTAAACAGCAAAGCATTATTTTTTGTTTTGTAAGAATGCTATATATAACCTCTTGAAACAGATCTTAAACAGGAATCTGAACTTTCTTCTGAAGGCTACAGTTTTTGAGGGAAATTATGTGCTTGAGAAGCAAACAAAAACCATAACAAAATCTCTTTAAGCCAAAAGACAAAATAAAAGTTATAAAAAGTATATATGTCTTTCATTTTCCAAAGGACTTAAAATGATTCGTTAGTGTTATATTTCCAAAATTTATAAACTGTCCTTCGTCTATGAAAATGTA